CCTCTTGGGGCCAGGGATAATGGTTCCTCAAGTACTGAGCGCACGGCTCCATCCCTGCCAGACCTGCTGCCAGCAGGTGATTCACTGCCTGGGATGAGGGCAGTGAGGAAGTGAAGGACCAGCCTGGACGGGCTTTGGTGCCCCAAAAGCATAACTGAAAGCAGCTGTGGCTTAAACACAGTGTCTGGTGGTGGCACGGGACCCTGTGCCTCTTTGGTGGCAGGGCACAGGGAGGTGGCACAGCCTTGGGGCACCCAGCACTCACCTTGGAAGTAGACACCGGAGCAAATCCTGAGGATGCGGGGCAGGGTGGTGGGGTCCAGGGAGCAGATGTATTCCTGGAAGGAGAGGGGCTCCATGGCCGTGCTGCGGGGTGCTCCAGGGCGCTCTGCAGAGATGGGAACTGTGTGGGAAGCAGATCTGAGCTTTGCTTTCACTTCTGCCCACTTTTCACTTCTGTTTCTAGCAGCGGAGACTTCCCTTCCTGGCCACAGAGCTGCGCCACCAGCACCTCTGCAGCCTGCACAGCCTGACCTATGCGCTGCTGGTCAGTCCTCTTCCTGACCCCATCACGGCTTGGGATCCCCCAGTCCCGGCCCTGCTGGTGATGTGGATGAAGGCACCAGGCCCCAGCTCTGCCGGGTCGTGTCCCCTTCACACATTCCCCATGGACCCTCCTGCCCTGCTGGGGCCAGACAGCGATGGTGCTGTGCAACAGGTCTGGGTAGACCACTGCGGAGGAAGCAAAGGGCTGTGTCCAAACATCCCTCTCCCTTTACAGACACACCGGCACCTCCATCCCGGCTCACCTCTGGGCTTTCAGACCCCACTCACCCCCATAACAAACATCACGTCCTGGCTGTGCTCAGTGTGTCAGGAGAGGGGAGTCACTGGTTCTGGTCACTGCAGCCATGGGAAAGGCAAACCCAAATTCCCATGTCTCCAGGACAGGAGAAGAGACATCCCCATCCTTCAACAAAGCATCCGACCATGGTCCCTGCAGCCACCAGCTCCATGGGTTCTGAGAGCTGCTGCTGCTGCTCATCTCTGTAAGGGTTTTCCTTCAGCTTGCCCTGAGTCACACTGCCCTGAAGCTGCAGCCTAGGAGTGGGAGCAGGATGGGACAACATGGAAATGAAACTCGGGAGATGCAGGAAGAGAGCTCTTCCTGCTTTGCCTCCAGCTGCAGAAGTGGCTGCGCTGACTGGAATTGGTGCTTCCCATCACTCCGTGCAGGCTGAAGCCACCTGACTGACAGGGAGTGCAGGCACATGGAGACTCCCCCTGCACGAGGCGCCTGCAGCACGCCACGCCGGGTGTCACAGCCGCAGGGACATCTAGAGAACATCTAGAGGACAAACTGACACTTGGAGCTGCACTACCCTTACCACCAGGGCAAGGCAGAGAGGTCAAAGTCTTGCCAACCTACAAGGATGGAGCAGAGGGTGAGAGCTCAGCTCAAAAGCCCACTGGCTCCTGCCTTCTAAGAGCAAGGCGCCAGGCTGCTGAGCTCCAGCAGCTAAGAGCCAGGGATGGGCCATGGAGAACAAGAGCCAAGGTGGAAGCAGCGTCCCTTCAGGGATGGGGAAGGGCTGCAAGAGAAGGGGAGTGAGGAGAGGCAGAGAGATGCTGAAGACAGCTCACAGCAGGCCATAAGGCTGAGCTTTAGGGGTGACGATGCCCGTGTTCCTCTGCTGGGAGCTTAGTCTTGCGCCCGAGTACACCAGGGGATGAGCCAGGGAGGCTGCTGCTTTGCAGGGCTTCGGGAGGCTTGGGATGCCTGTGGGACAGCAGGGCAGCTGGGGGAGGAAGAGGCAGCGAACCTGTCCAAGCCTTGAGCTGAGGAAGGGCTGGGATGTTTTCACTTCCTCCTGCTCGCTGCCAGGCAGGTGCCCTCGAGGGCAGGGCCAGTGAAACCCTCGGAGCTGCGGCTTCGGTTCAAGTGCTCAGTGAAACCAGCCCGGCCCCTTCCACCAAGAGCCCTTGGTTCCCCTGAGCAGCGCTCCCCACGCGCTGTGGGAAGAGCTTTCCTTTCCCATGAGTGGTTTTGTTTCGTACCCTCGTGAGGCTCCAACGCGGGTGATGAGGATGGGGAGCAGCAGGAGCAGGGGAGTTGCACCAGAGGAAGTTGCTCATGCAGTGAGCCAGGAAACGATGCAGTTGCCTTTTCCCCTCCGGTTGTGCATTTGCCCAAGAGGAACAAAACACACCTACCATTAACAGCACGGAGAAGAGGAGGTGAAAAGCCTGTTGGAAAGGGTTTGCAGAAATTCAGATGCTCAACCAGGTACAAGCAAGGGCCTTGACCAGGATTCTGGCCAGCAGCAGCCAACTGTAAAGCCTGCATCTTGGTGTAAGTGGTTGTGTTCTGCACACTGAGTAACTGAGATAAAGTTGTGAAAAGGTAACAAGAAAAACATAAAACCTCTCTAACAGATGGGCCCAGTAATAGCTAATGAGGAAACTGCTAGCTAGAAACTCACTTGTCATGTTACTATCAGCTTTGCTTTTTGCCTTTTGCAAAAGACAGGCTAGGCAGACATAGCCCTTTTACTAGAGACTGGTTATTCGTGCAATTGGTTATTCTGCTCCCCTCTTCCATCCCCCTCCCCAAAAAACAAACCCCAAACCCCACCACCCAACGGGAAGCAATGAGCACACAGCAAACAATTCATGTAAGTCACACAAAGCTGCTCCTGAGCAGCTGATTCAGCAGAAACAAGGGAAGAGCTGTTAAGTTCTGGGGGTGAGGGAAGCTCTTGCTGCAGTTCACCAGCATGGCTGGAGCATTCCTGCACTGCTGCCTCCCAGGTGACTCAAAGCACTTGGTATGATCAGAGGTGTGCACGCTGTGGCTGCTCACTCACCTGCTCCGTGCTGGAAGCTTTTCCTGCTCTCCTAAAAGGGCCCAGGGAAAACTCACCTCCTCTCCAAGAAGTCCTTGTTTCAGGCAGGTCTCTAACACAGAGGTACCTTAGTGCACAGCACACTGGGAACAGAACAACTTGCATCAGTGTGTTACTAGCTCCTGGGATACCTGCTGGGTACTGCAGCCTTCTAAAACCAAGATTGAAGAGGGGTTACAATGACAATCCAGGTAATGCTGTAAGGACAAATGGGCCTGGAAAACACTACCACTACAGCTCAGTTAGCTGCAGACTTTACCTCTTTGGTCTGCATTCCACATCGAAGAGAGTGCTTTAGATTATCATGCAAGCAGACTCCTTTCCTTTAACACAGGAAATTAACTGCTAACCACACCAACACTTAGAATATCAGCCCACAAAGCTAACTACTTGACCTGTACCAACTATTTTTACCTATGGCACATCAGCAGCTTGTACACCTTGTGAAGATTCAGCCTCCTGCTGACACAGGAATGAAACTGCCCAGTGGATATTGCTGCATTGAGAAGTACTCATCTGCAGCCTAAACAGCTCAACTCTACCCTGCAGGCACCTTTAACCAAGTCCCAGTTTACTGGTTTTCACTGCAGCTCTCCGCAGTGAGTCTGGGACAAGCTGCAGACCCACTGTGACAAAGGACGGTGCATTCAGATCCAAGGTTCCTCTATAGGCAGCAAACTGGGCAATGAGAAGAGCAAAGCTGGGCTCTAAAGAATAACTTTTGTGGAGGGAGGATTATGGCAGAAGCTGGTAGAACTTCACTCACAAAACAAAGGCAACTGCTGTTTAAAATCCACTCTTAAGTGTCCCTCTTGTGCACTGCAGCACCAGGCAGCAAAGCAGGTCACGAGCAGAGGAGCTGGAGCAGCTTTAAGAGCTGCAGCCTGAGCCAGCCACATGAACAAGACCTGCAGTGACAGCAGCACTTGGCCACAGCACAAATCCATCCCATAAGCCACAGAATAAAGGTACAGCCTCAGCTGCGGAAGCGCGGGCTGGGAACGAACACACTACACTCTCCAAGCTGGCAAAATCTGCATTTAATTTACAACATAGTAAAGGTTACAGGTAAAAAGCTCAACAGAAAGTGTGAAAAGGCCTATTACATATTACACAAGTGTACAAACATCTGTACAAAGCCCCTAGATGTTACACCGTCCCCTCCTGTACCAGCTGTGTCCCCTAAGCTCTACAATAATGAGAGCTTGCTCAAACCCAGAGAGGAGAGGAGCTTGAAAAGCAATGAGCAGTAAAGCTTCCCTTTTCAAGAAAAACCTTGCAAAGAACAAAACAAAAACCACCCATCCAAAAAGAAAAACCAAACCAAACCAAGAAGAAAACCTGCTCGACTTTTCACTCGCCCTAACTAGTCTTACCCTAAAGAGTTGCCTTCATAAAGCAGACTGGCTGGAAAAAGACAATTCTACGTACCAGGAAGAAGCAAACCTAAAGGGAGAAAGATTCTCAGTCCACATGGAGTGTCTGGAAGCAGAATGAGGACTGAATCACAGTCACAGCAGCACAACTATCCTGCAGAGGTCCTGCGCTCACCCATCTAACAGCCTGAGCTAGATGGTGCAGGGAGGGGGACAAACCAGTCCCTAAAGCCATCCCTCTTGGGAATGGGGTAGCTCCCAGCTCATTTTTAGCTCAGGAACATGATAGCAATCACTCTTCAGACACAGAAGTCACACTGATTTTGGAGCATGTGTCCAAACCAGGTCCCATGCACGCAGCACACCAGAAGCACTGTCACACTGCTCCAGCAACCACCAGATGTGCACACCTCAACTTGGCCGGGTAGCCACAGTACTGTATGGAATGAAGAGCCGGGCACACTCTGTCATTGTGGTGGAGAAATCCCCAAACAACAGAGGAATGTCACCACAAAGATGAACTGCATTATCCAATGTAAAAACAATCCAGGCAAAACAGAGCTCTGGCCTTACCTGGTATAAAGAGAAGATACTGTGTCTCAATACGTGTGAATCAGGTGGTGAAACCTAAACTTGAGGATCTGAAGTGTGAGAGCCACAATCCAAATCAAGCTTATTTTATTCAATAGGAGAAAGTGAAGTAGTCAAAAAAATGTACTATGATAAAACCAACTCGTGCAGTGCTTTATTCAAGGTGAGGCAGATTCTCTACTCAGAACTGATATTCTAGCTCTAAGCAGCACTGTGTTCTCATCCCTTGAACCAAGGGATGTGGCCAAACCAGCAGATTGTGGTTTTAGCTGTTAAACACGCTGATGGTTGGTCATTTTTCTGTGTCTCTTGTTGCATCTCACACATGCTCTAAGCTCACAACTTCCATTTGCAAATACAAATGGAACTATCTAAGTTAAAAGGGCCACCAAGTTCAAAAGGAACTGGTTTCCTCTGGGTTAACTCCACCTTAAGTGATCACAGGGAGTGAGATCAACCTGACTTGGTTATTTATAGGCAGTGCCTACCCACCTTTCAAACGCTCTGAGGCTTCCCATGCCCGGTAGCACCAACACAAGCTCCCATCCACCCACATGTGCACCCCTTTAGTCCTCCAAATACTGGGCCACAGCTTGGGAAACCCATCTATTTTTGTCCATTAACTCCATGTCCTCATGAACTAATGGGATGCTGTAGTGTTTGAGGTGGAAAAAACCCCAAAGCTGTAGCCAAACTAAAGTAATACAAAAAAACCCCCAACAATGTCCCACACATTGGTGGGTTTGGAAAATGTACAAAAGAAAAGCTGACCTATATTTTGCAAGTTTTAGAACTCCTGTTAATGAGATTTTGAAAGGCTTGGCCCCACAACCATTCACTTCTGACAGAGCTGACCTGCTACGTGCAAGTCCAGTGGCAACAACATGACTTGTAGTGAGCACACCGCCTCCAAACATGGATTTGCAGGGTCATGCCATAAATGAGAATAAAGTTGTGTGATGCTGCCCCTTCAACCTCTGGATCAAAACCGAGTAAAGACCTCTGGGGACAGTAATGGCGAAGAAAAGGCTGCCAGATATTTTTGTTCAAAAGGAGATGGGAGCTGTAATTCTTTTTTTTCCTTTAACAGACATATAAAAACGTTTGAAGACAGATCTTTAAAGGATGTTTCACTTCTTCAATCTTGGTATTACATCTGGTTAGGACACTGAAATCTTAAAAAGACGATACTGCACAGCAACAGTTTCTGGAGTTCGTGACTCCCACCCTCACTCCACAAACTCGGGCTCAGATCAGCAGGGAAGGGGTTGGCTTCTTGCCTGGCCATGCCTCCTTTGCATATTTCTTCTTCTTGGGTTCATTCACAGCTTCGGGATTAAAGACAGCAGGGTTTGGAGCTGGGTTCATGTTGACTGTTGAGGGCGCAACAGGAGTCAAGTCCACATCTGGAGCGAGATTGGGGTAGGGCATTGGCAGGCCACCAATGAGTGCTGTCCCATGGCCACCGTGCGACTGGGACCCTGCCTCATTGTGGGTTGGAGGTAGACCCCCGTACAATCCTCCGCTGTAGGGGAAGTTTTGCATCCGTCGTGATGCAGAATCATCTGTGGTCAGGGAGCCTGCGTTCTCCAACCGCTTCTTCTGGAGACGGAAGCATTTAAACATTAGTCAGAATACATGAAATAAGCAAGCTGTAGAAACTGGCCCCCAAAAGGCACCTTGACCAGCCATGCAAAGTGGTTACAGACCATGTCCCAGTAGATTTCTTCTGGGTTTCTCTGAAAACCACTTAATAATAAACTCTTAAAGGTGCACAATGCAGGAAGGGGTGACAGGAGCTGAACTTAGATCAGGTCTGAGCACTTCTTTATCTCCTGTACACACCTGGCAGTCTTGAGCTTGTCCTAAACACAAGACTGAGGAGGTCTTTAGTCAGTAACACAGACCCTCCTCCCCCCAGTAACAAACTGCAACTCCCAGATCACCTGGGTGATTTTGTCTAGCTCCTGATCATCTGGATCTCCTGCAGCCTGGGGTTTAGGCAGAATTACCCTTTTCCACACACATTATTTCATGCATACCAGCAACAAGTGAAGTCACTATCACACTGTTGCTTAGCTACTCTGAAGCTTTACAAATATTCAAGTTAAATATAGCACAGGCAACACTTTAGTCTTGGAGCAACAGCTAAACCCTGCTAGTTCTAGCAGACAACCTTAGGAAATCTTCAGCACTTACAGGATTTAAACAACCTCTCTTTTTTACTTTCTATTTTCTACGCTTCCCATAACTTTAACCAATGCCTAGAACCACTGTACTGGAATTCTGGGAAGTGTCTCTTTTTGTGAGGGAAAAATTACTGCCATTGCTCCCACGTGTTATTAAAGAGCAAAAGCTGGATTTGAAGGGAAACAGACAAATCTACTAAAGACTACAATTGTGAAACATGAACACGACTTGCTAACACTAAAACACTTCTCACCACAGAACATTATGTTCTCAAGGTATAAGTCATAAAATGAGTTCATGTAATCAATCATGAGTTCATCAATGCAATGCATTCATTAGAAAATTGAGTTACTCTGTACCTTAACAGGGACTACTGCTGTCTGTACCATGTTCCTGAAACGTCCAACAGAAGGGTCCACATCCTCTGCAAAAGCAAGAACAGCGATGCCTTCAGTAAGAATACAGGAAGAGACAGAGCATCTGTCAGGTAAAGGAGCCTATTGAGGAACTAGTAAATGAACTTTCTCCAAGCCAGTCCTCTAGTGATGCTCAGGAAGCACAAGCATGCCCAGATGAAGAGAGGAGACAGGAGGACACCTAGTGGCTTTGGCTCCAGGTGGGCTCATGAGATATGCTGGTAAGAAAAGCTTTCAACTCCAGTGGAGAACAGGGAGGTAAATGTATGGATGGGTGGCTTTCTCTGATCACAATGGAGTTCTGGACTGAAAGCTAGAGCTGACAAGCCCCTGCACATGCTCAAAGGCACAGCAGCCATCCCCAGAAGTCCTTGGGGGAACCTTGAAGGAGGAGTTGAAGGAATTCAAGGTACAGGCTCCAAAACTCTGAAAACATTATCCTTTTTGTGATGCAGAAGACTGCTGTTTACATTAGGATGTTTTGAGCACTGAACTGCATAACCTTCTAAATCAAAATGGTTTTTCTGGCTGGTGTTGAATTAAGTCAAAGACTTAAGTGAGACGTGGCAGCTTCTCTAAAATAGTAGATCCCAAACACTGACTGCCAAACTTCTCTTCTTATCCATATGCAGCCAGGAGGAATCCCTATGAGAACACTGGAAAGGGGGCCTTAAGGGCATCAACTAAAGACTAAAGCAAACTACTTACCCGGATTGATGATTTCATCGTCATCACTGAATGTCACTCTGGAGTTCTTCCGTTTTCTCTTTGGTCTCTGAATATCCAAGTTCCCTTCCTCAATGGTTAGTGTGGAAATTCTTTTGTTGTGGGCCGTATTAAACTCTGTCAGGTTCTAGTGATAAAAATGGAGATGAAATAGTTTAAGCAAGTAGCGTATGAAGTTTCATTTAACCATGCAATTGTGCGTATCAGAAAACCACAGCACAGTGTTTAGTTTCAACTTTAGAACCATAGGAAGAAAGAGTGCTCCAGTGCTGCAATAGGCTGCTCAGACAGGTTATGGTATCTGCCTGCGAATACTCAGAACATGACTGACCATGATGCTGGGGCAACCTGCTGTAGGTGACCTTGCTTAGCTGGAGGACTGGACTAGATGAACCTGAGAGTTTCTTTCCAACCTCAACAATCCTGTGAATGCCACATGTGCTTCTTCCTTTTTCTCTAGTTAACTGCAGGAAACAGGGCAGCATTCAGTTACTGGGAAATCATCCTTGACCTGGGGTAGCTGGGGAGAGTGTAACTCCCCGGAGAGCCATTGTGAGCAGACCACTGGAAGAGGATTATTAGGTCAGTGGATTCTGGGAAGCTGCATGATCACAGCAGAATGAGACACTTTGTGTGTATCTGCCAGCAGAACACACCTTAGACCACCTTCAAGGCCAAGAAATGAAGAGCCTGAACCTAAGCAAACAAAAGCGGAACGCTATCTGTTTAGCTAGAAACACCATCGAGGTAGAGTGTGACACTGCACTCACGTCAAGTTCTGTCTCCTCCTCTGGCAGGCCCAGCAAGCCCTTGAGCTCTTCATCTTCGCTGCCCATTTTCTCATCTCCCTTAACTGCCGATGGAAGCGTCTGAGGCTTCTCCCGCAGCGTGTATGCCCGTGTAGAAGCACCAAATGAAACCGTGGAGTCAATGGGTATCTGTTGGGGTTTGTGAGGTTCCAAACGGATATGACCCAAGAATGTGCCATGTGCTGAGAACATCAAAAAGCAAAACAGGCTGTTAGTTATCAGCTTGGGCTCAAAATAGTCAAGTTCAAGTCTTGAGAAATTCAGAAACTACAGGGTTCCTCTGAGATACAAGTGCCTGAGGTACTCTGAAAACAGAAGCTATGCACATACCACCCATCGTCTCATGAACTAAGGTAACATGCATGAGAAGTCCCCAAAAAGTCATGGAAACAAAGTACAAACACCATTTACTTTTTGGATTCTTGTAGGTCCCAAGGTACCATGTCTGGAATCAGTACCTCAGTGGAAAAAACAGGTTTTAGATCTTGGGAAACCACCCTCAGTAAAGAAAACCTCATGAAATCCTGAAGGGAAGGCAAAGTCACCTTCCTCTTCTCCCTTAGCCTCTTAAGCCTAGAAATGTTCTTTTAAACACCAAATGAAGCAGATGGAAGCTCACTGGAGCAATCACTTCTTTGCTCCAAACCCATTACAATCTCTCCCTAGGATGCCATCTCAGAGTACAGTCATCTATCCACACAGCGAAACAACACCACCAAAGGAAAAAGTGTCTCAGATTCAGGAATGCTTAAGCACTGAAATATTGTGCTTCTAGCTGGTTAAATGTCACATTACTTACTGCTGTTTAGATCTATGAGGAAAACCCTCTTGAGATGTTTGTGATAGACCAAGGCAGCATGGACCCGAGAGCAAGACTGGTGGTCAATGGTAAAATCGCACAGATCAGGATTTCTCCCAAAGAGATAGTATTTCTTCTCATCAATGATGAGTTTCTGAGGTAGAATATCAAACAGAGAAGTGTATTAGACTCCTATCACCTTGTGGATCTTCCTGAAAAAATTCAAGCACATGAATAAACAGAGCAAGTTCTAAACACAGCATCAACAGCCCATCAATATTTCAGTTTTGCCTGACACTTAAACACAGAAACTCAAATCTTCTCTTTGTAAAAACAGAGCAGCTGAATATGGAAAAGTCCCAGCGTTCTCAGCTTCCAAAGCACTCCTCTGCTGCGTTAGTCTTCTGCTGCCATACTGGACTGAATTAATTTGCCTTCAGGCAGATGGGTATTCCCACAAAGGGCTGATATAGGCACCAGGACTGTGGGACGAGGAAGGATCTCCCACTCTGGCAGTAGCATTCACATCACTCAGTTGTTAGCTCCTAGTTTTGGTCAGCTGGAGATCCAATGCGTCACACTAGTTACAGGTAGCTGGTTTGGGGGGTTTTCAAGCTATCAGAAAGACTGACACTATGAGCACCTAAATTCTGTAGCACTACAAAGTCATGCAGAAAATGAGACAGCTTGGAATAAGACACAGTATTTCTATTCCTCTGCCTTATCTCCAAGCAAAAAAAAACCACATGAACTTCATTTTCTACTACATTTTCTTAAAGCTCATCCAGTTCCAACCCCTGCCACAGGCAGGGCCCCCTTCCATAGAGCAGCTTGCTCCAAGCCCCTGTGCCCAACCTGGCCTTGAACACCGCCAGGGATGGGGCAGCCACAGCTTCTCTGGGCACCCTGTGCCAGCGCCTCAGCACCCTCACAGGGAAGAACTTGTGCCTAAGAGCTCATCTCAGTCTCCCCTCTGCCAGGTTAAAGCCATTCCCTTTGTCTTTGACTTGGCAGCATTCAAGAGATTTTGCAAATGCAGAAGTGAATTAATACATTGGAAATATTGTCACAAATCAACAGGGGAAAATAATTCTATTGCCTTTACTCCAAGATAAGTTTCCAGATTTTTCTGTGCCTCTGAGTTATAACCCAGTGTCTTCCTTTACACACTGAGCTTAAACACTTCATGGCTTGTTTTAATGTAGCACTTTTCAGACCCAGCAATCACATGGTGTACCACAGACCTCAGCACAAGGCCTCCGATACGGATGGCTTGGTTAGTATCAAGTGCTCAGTAATCCAGGAAGATTTAATAAAGTTCTTACCATAAAACTGAAAAGCTATTTGCCACATGTACCAAATAGGGAAAGAGATGGATCACATTCAATGCTGTTCATGTGTTGCACAGCTCCCAAACATGAGCACAGCTCACTGTTTGATGTAAACACTGCAGTCTAGAGGACTTAAGCTGTCACCAGTACAGTGTGTAAGGCCACAAGGCAGCCACACAAGCAGCCATGGACGCTGCATGGAACAGTGCACTAGGACTTCCCTGCCAAGCCAGCCTGGGCCTCAGAAAAGCTTTGGCCAGCAGAGCCTCAGAGCCTGACACCACCAGCACAATACACCTCCTGACTGACATTTATCAACACCAACTTTGCCCATCCATTACCAAAAGCAACGGTGCACCCTCAGCTTCCATATGGCATTTTGCTGCTTTGTTTTTCAGTCCTGAGCAGGACTCCTGTGACAGACATTTGCTGAGCACCAGAGGATTCATTTAGCAGAGAAGTCCATGTAAACCCTTTCATCCTAAAGCTCCCTCTCCAAGCTCAAGAATCCAAAGGAAATATGACAAGAGAAAATACATCTTACAGAATCAGTCTCCCAGGTGGGAAGGCTGCATTATGTCTGGCCACTTGCCACACACCAAAACCCCCAAAGTCACAAAGCCATTTGGCTTTGCTCACTGAATTTCATTACATGGCCTGAAAGGAAGACTGGAAAACCCAATGCCAAGTACAACCCGCACCCAGCTGGTGCTGCTGGCATGGCAGTGAGAAAGCTGAGCTGAGCAGCAGCCTACTGCAGCTCTCTGATCTCTCAAACTGATTCTGAACACACATCAGTTTCAGAACTGGAGAAGCAGAATCCATGGGCTATGGATTGAAGACAAACGCCATGCAAAGGGTCTGAATGCTACAGTGCCTAGAAAGAGTCAGTTAAGGCCAGCCCTGATACAGTCCCAGTACTCTGTAAGCATCTTGTAGGGAACAAAATGTCAAGTTTAATCCAAAATTAAGTTTGGAAGCATTTTACTTTAACTCTCTCTCTTATTAAGACAGGTTTAACCTTCAGGAAGCCAACTGTCACTGTCTGCTACCTGAGCAGGGCAGTTTTGTACCCCTGCGCAGTGCATCTAATCAGAAGATAACTGATGGAATTCTCTTCCTTCTGAAGTTTCAGAGTAAAATAAACTGATGTGAACATCATGAACACGAGAGAGAAGCTAAATGCTCATGAGGAAGTGTTGAAAATGCTGGGAAATGTTCTATTGCTGACGCCTATGTACATGATCTACCCAATACACACAAACCCTATTTTCATACCTCAATGAGTTTGTCTCCTTTGACCACATCCAGATGTAAGCCAGGTGGTGGCTTCCCTGCCCTGGAAAATAAAGGAAAATATAGCATCAAAACATTTCATAGAACATTTATTAGGGTTAGAGCTAATATTCTATTAGAGCTACAGCCCAAACATACACAAATGTAAGCAGGATTATTTGGGGGAAAATATGAAAATCTCCTCATTTTCTCCTCCCTGCAGATGCCTTTGGCCAACACATAACCCATCATTTTTTACAAACCCACGCAGGTTGATGGCAGGCATTTATGATTCCCTCTGCTCTTAGAAGCATTAAAATAATTCCCACCAAGCTTTCAGTTGTAAGAAATACACTTCAAAAAGCTCATGGTTCAAACTTGGCGATTACAGACTTATCCTGAACACAAAACAATTGCACTGTGTTTTAGGAGTATTTTATGGAAGCTTTCTGATGAGAGACGTGGCTGCTTCGACTGAACAAAGCATTCCATTTGTATTAAAGCATTTGCCTAACTTCACCTTGGCACTATGTATGTTTTCTTGTTACAATGCAGTTCCGCACAGAACTCGATTCTACTGGCTCCCACTGGTTCCCTTGGTTACTTACTCAGGAGCAAAGTCTCCATGGAATACAGTGAAATTTGGAAATTGTGTACAAAAAATTAATTTCTGAGAGCAGGGCCCATAAATATTCTATTGGAGAGAACTACAGGGTTTATGGCATCAAAAATTGAGTTCAAACAGCACCGAATTAAATAGGAAAATGAATATTAAGGAGTGAGGAACAATGCACTGACTATTTGGTAAGATTATTCCTACTTTTTCAGAGAACAGGTATGTTGGAAGTGTAGACATCAGAGGAAGGAAAGACACGACTGTAACCTTTATGCCTACCAGAAAGCTGCTCCACAGCCTTGTTATTCTGACAGTTTGATTTCCATCCTACATTTCTGATCAAACCCTTTCATTGCCATCCTATATTTTTCGCTCTTTCCCTTCAGCTGTAAGGGAGGGCTCCCCAGTACCATGCCTCTTTAAAAATCCTCTACCCAGTGAAAAGCAGCGTTGGTTTTATTTTATTAGACAGCTTAAGCTCTGTTCTGGCCCACACTACGGTCCCTGTTTCCCTAAGGCATCTGGTTCGGTTTGACTCGAGCTTTATTAAGCACAGGTAACAGACTCTCTATTTTCATCAGTGCCTTCTCCAACAGCACTGACTCAGTCATACCCAGCTGAAAGAGAAAATCTGAGCTGTAGCTATGAAAGACATGGACAGGACAGCTTGAATTCTGTTGTGTTATAGTTTAAAATGAGGTCAATTATTTAAGTTTCTAAATGTGGATTCAAAAGCCTAAATTTAGCTACTTCCTAAAAATCTTGGCCTGTGTGCCTACTGTATGCATCTCCATGCCCAACTTCAAGGACAAGGTGGAACTTCCAGAACTCTAAAGCTCATCCCCTCCAGAAATCTGTGTAAAATCCCAGCCAGGAATAGCCTGTTGTTGGCTCAAAGCAACTGAAATCATTGTTACCTTTAAAACATCTTACTTCAAATGCGTGTATGTTCCAGAACAACCTCCCAACTCCTGGTGCGTCGAGAGAGGGAGTAAAGGAAGATTCACCATCCCAAATGCAGGTTAGACCACAGTGGTCATTAAACATCTGAGGGTCACCCCCAAAACTACACCCCGGATCATTTGTACCTCACAGGAATGACTTTTACTCACTAAAATCAGCTCAAAAGCAAAGCAAAAATCTTCGTAACACCAGGGTATGTCATTGTTATCTGAACACATCTTCTAATGTCATGGTTTGGCTCAATTTTGATCCACAGTATCGGCAACACCTTTATTTCCATTTCAAATGCACAGCCCATGCCTTTGCCAACAGTTAGGGAGGAATTACAGCGGATGCATACACAAGTGCTGGCACAAACAAGCACTATGAAGACAACATTCCTCATTTGTCATTGTCTCGAGCTAGTTGGAAGCACAAGAAAAGAAAGAATAATGCATTTTATGGACTCTGAAGAAGTACCTTCTAACAGAACAAAAAGTAAATCAAAGGCAGAACTTCAACCCTGAAAATTGAACTGATTGAAAACCTTGAATTTCAGAGTGGAAGTCTTTTCTGGAAACTGGATACTAAACCACTAATCACGTTAGGAAAGAATGGGTACAATGATTAAGGCAAACCTCAAAAATATGGGCAATTTAAAGGCAAGGGAAAAAAGCTATTTCTTTTGATTACATTTAAGATCAATTTCTCATACAACTGGTGTTTGCAGTCCCCAAACCAGATCTGCTTAGAGGCAGAAAACCAGATAAATAATGACTCTGATCTTGATTTTAATATAGGCTGATGACATTGAAGCTAATTCACTACAGAAGAAGCTGCAACTGACCACAAAGCCCCTCTGCAAGTCCATGGTTTTGGTCACCCAAAGCTCTCTGTACCAGGATCTATACTGCTACCTAAACAGAAGACTTCTGGGTGCTGTGCAAGACACCAAGGATCCTGCAAGATACGTATACACTGAGACTTTCTGGAAGTCAGAGCTTCAAATAACAATACTACTGGTCCAGGCCTGCTGCTGGGAAAGACCCATCACCCAGTATCAATACTGATTCCATTCCATAGCAGTTTTTCAATTCAATATCATACCTGCGTCCTCTCTGGGCTGCTCTGAAAGAAGCAAACACGTTAAAACTGTGAGCCAGACTCTGCAATTCAGCAGGTTCACCCCAAGTCACAGAAAGCTTTATCAGGAAATTTAATCTACTTTTTTTTGCAGATTAGAAAAATAAACCAGAAATAAATGGATTTTAAGACACAACAGCAAAAGGACATTCAGGCTGCAAAAAAGCAACTTGCCAAAAATCTGAGAAATGTCAGCGTAAACAAGAGCCTGGCACCTGAACACAACCTCCCACTCCTGGGTGTGAAACCCTAGCCTGGATCATCCCCCTAACGCCCCTTTGCCCTCATGTCTCCATCATTCAGCACAACAGGATGTGCTTCAGACCCAAATCAGGTCAGCACCAGCCCAGTGAAGCTATGCAAGACATGCCCTGTCTGCAGTAGAAACCAGAATATATGTAACTAAAGAGGCCCTCACAGAGGCAGGTGTAACAATCCTCTCTTTAGGTGGTATTTATTTAGGAATCCTTCTGCAATAACACGCAAGTAACTGCAACTGAGCACTGCAAAAGTTCTACTTCTCCAGCTGGTCAACCTACAGCCTGCAAAGGCAGAAGTAATTCAGATTTACCACTGAATATAATGCAAGTTGTGCACACTGTTGTACAAAATCTAAAGAGGTATTTCAAGTATCAGGTTGAACACCCAGAATCGGGTTTTATCTACTCTATCATGCCATCATTTTATGGAGCACCATCTTGTCTCACAGAGATGCTTCTTACTGGGTACGTTCAGCACAAATGATCTACTAAAACACATGAGCAATTCCTCCTCGTGAGAGGGTGAGACGGTTTTACCAGCTAAAGCAGGCACTCCTAAACCAGGTTAAATTATAAGGCAGATTCACTGAGCATCCATTCACTGAGCACCATCGTCGCAGCACGGAGAGGCAGGGGATCTGTGGTAAACCTCAGATGACTGTGCAATTAAAGCCTGCAATTGTGCATGCACATACAGAGCCAGCTCCCACCAATGCTTCACTTTTCAGTCATAACGTTGTCTCATTTTCTATGTCATTTAAAACACAACTGCACAACCCCCGGACAATCACTGCTCCAACCCCCAAAGACGACGGCACAGCAGAGATCTATTTAGTACTGCATCAAACAAATCAAAGCAAACGCAGCCCAGGTAACCTAACCCAAGGCGCTGCCTGCAGCAGGAGCAGCTGATTTCCAGAGATCCCCTCCAACTACGGCTCGAAACCAACCATACTCATGGTCCTGACCCTGCTGCTCCCACACGCCGCTCTGCCCCGGGGTTTTAATGCAATAACCCCCCCCCCGGCCAGCCTCAAGCCGATGGATCTCTCGTGCTGCACACACAGCTCGAGCACAACGCTGAATTTGCGCTCCATCACCCGTTCTGTTGAAGCCGCAGCATCGCCGGGAGCAGCCTAAAGCCGCGGTAGCCGCTGGACGCGGCCTGCTCCCGGCTCCGCCAGCGACAGCACCGACCCCGCGGGGACGGGAGCGCAGGCCCGGGCCCTTCCCGCCCCACGCCCCGGCCCCACAGCCACTCCCCCGGCCCGGCGCGGCCGGCAGCCCGCGGCAAACGCAGACGCGATGGGCCCGGTGCGGCAGCCACAGTCTCTGCCCCGGTGCCGGTCCCGGCTCCGTCCCGCCGCTCACCAGCTGGGGCACTCGAAGAGCGAGAGGCCTCCGCCACCGGCGGGGTTCGCGTTCGCCGCCATCTTGTGTCTGCCCCATTCAGGCGCGCCCGGGGCACGACGGGAGGCGGGAGGAGAGGCGCGATCCCAGCGTGCACTGCGCGGCGAGAGGCGCTGAGGGGAAGGGCGCGGGAGCGGAGCGGGTCCGAGGGGACCGGGAGCAGGTCCGGGACTCGGTGTGCAATGAACGGCCGAGAAACGGGGCTGCAAGCGACGCGGGGGACATGGTGCGGGACAGCGGAGTGCTCAGGGACGGGTTGGACAGCGCTTGGAGCAAGCTGCTCTAGTGGAAGGTGTCGCTGCCCGTGGCAGGGGTTGGAGGTGGAGGAGCTTTAAGGTCCCTTCAACCCAAACCATTCTAGGATCAGTCCCATTTCTCCAGTATCCCCACGAAGAGCCCTTTCCCAGAGGCCTCATCCCCTGGCTGGCTCCCACAGCCAGCACCAGAGCCAGGTCCCAGCTGCTCCAAGTGGTAGGAAACACAGCCGAGGGCCAGGATGCTGCAGCAGCAGCCATGGCAGGTCTGGTGGTTCTTCATGCTCAGGAACATAGCCAAGACTGCTAAAAATAGCTCCTGCAGCAGCCCTACTGCTAGGTTCAGTGATGGAAAGAAAGAGGAGAAAGTATCAAGTCATTACAGCCATGCCGAGTCCAGCGAGCTGGACTCATGTCCTCACTGCCAGTTGTTAGAGGACCAAAACAGGCCCAAGAAAGGATGGATCCTACAAATACTGTACCCAGGCTCCTTTGTAAGATATGGAGGTGTGACATCCAGAGGACTGTCCCAGTGCAGCAGGCAGCACAAAAAGCCCCAGGCTCTGCCATACAGGAGGAGTTATTTTAAATCAGGAACAGAACCACACACTGGTTCCTTGCTTTCAAGTCTGATTTCACCGTACAGGCTCAGCAAAGACTCCAATTTGCAGCAACAGGCAAACAGTCAAAGTTGACCCAACACTGATCTAGGCATCAGATTCATGTTTCTGCCCTCAACTGTTGCACAGGAGCTTTGTGTGTGTCCAAGTGAAAGCAATTCACTTGTTTCATTCTTCACAATGAGAGACCACAGACCTGAAGCTGGAGGAAAGACAGCTGTAACATGTAAAGTCTTCTACCCTGCTTACAGAGGGAACCACAAACGAGTGCCAGTGTCCAAACTGCAAGAGACAGAAGCTCCAAGATAGACTTTTAAAAGTGTTTATTGACGGTTATTCGATGGAATGACGGCGCAATAGTGCAAACCACTGTGGAAATGGGAGAACGCGCTCCCTTCCCAGCTTTCACATTTACTTTATTATACAGGAGACATGGAATAAGGATTAAATACAAAATGGGTCAGTATGCTGCATTTACCGCACTCCATTGGGCTTTGGGCAGATTAGTGTTCCCTCAGTGCATGTCAGCTCAGAGCTATGTTGAAGGGGGGAGTGGCTGCTAGATCCTGTCCAGCTCGGGTAGCAAGACAGCTGGAACCAGCACTCTTTTCAATTGCACACACATCCTCAGCCTGAAAAGCACCTCACCTCACTCAGCCAGTTTCTACACTTTCTGGTTCATAAAGAGTGGAAAAGACCAGGTGTTCACAAGCCCCACATAGTATTTACTAGTGCACTACAAGTGAGCTTCAAGAGCACTTCTTCAGAAGCAAGATTTCAGCTAATACTCGTCTATCCTGTAAACTTAGGTGCCCACTTCCTCATCTTTGTGTGATTTTCTCCCTGGAAGCTTCTAAAACCACTTAGGAGTGAACAGCTAAAACTTCGTATTTCTAGCGCTTGAGAGTCAGCATTGGCAGATATTTACCTGTCCAAGAATAAACCACCAGCTAGTGTCTCTAAGGAAGTTGCAGTGTTAGATTAAAAGTTAAAGAAGATCCTGTCCTCAAATGAGGCATTTTGGAAAAGAACAACCCCAACCACGCTCAAAAAAATTCACCACCACAATTACAAGCCTCAAAGGTGAACTGACCAGCACCCAGTGGTTCCAGCTATCACCCATGCATACTTCTTGCCTTTCCAATTGGCAACAACACCTCTTGAAGAGAATCTAGAGCCACAGCCACTTGGAGACTAATAAAACCATGGGGCAGATCCTGGAGACTTTAGAAACTGCTGGATTAAGGTGATGTGAATCGGTGGTGTGCCATCATCGAATGTCATTCTTATTCCAGTCCAACAAAGTTACCTATACATATAAAATGTTAATGTTGTGCCACTCGTCAACAAGAAGACATCTCCAATTATCGATCACACTTCAGCATACAGTTGGGACAGGGAGTAATACATTACAGAAAGCAAACCCACAAGATTTTAGTTACATAAAACAATATAATTTGTATATAAACTGATAAATACCGTCTCCATGGCTCACTAATTCCAAATACTAGTTATCTGCACATTAGTTGCTAATATCTATGACTAGAAGTAGTTCCAGCTTGTGCTCTCTCAGGGTGGTCAATTCAATTTTGAGACTTGACAGCCTGCTCGCTCTGAGGGAGGGGAAAAGATCTCAGCAATGAGATTAGGTTCCATGGGAAGATTTCATCCTGTTGTCTGCCAGATAATGAATCCTATGATTACAGAAGTCACAGCAAGACCAAGAATCAGGATGCAGATCTTCTTACGGGATTTCTTCTAATAAAAGGAAAAACAAGGAAAGCCACTGATACCAGAAGCAGATGACAAGAGGAAAAAGCAGGTCTATCAGTTAATGGTGCTAACTTTGGTGAACTAGAGCACTAGATGCCCATGCTTACTCAAGAGAAGTAACCAGTTTAGTCTGAACACTTTTACTTAACCTACAGATAAATGCCTTAGTTTTAGGAGCATGTGGTCTAAGAGATGCAGTTAAGTCAGAATGTGACAAGTTCTGCTTCTCTAAAGGAAAATGCCAGCTTTATTGCATGTTGGCTACAAAAAGAGAACGTGACATCACCTACCACTTTTCATCCTATTAGACGAGAGTACAGCTTCAAAGAAAGCCAAACATCTTCAGTAGTTTTCTCATACAATCTTCTCTTGGTCACTTGGGGTTGGTATAGAAATAGTATTGCATTTCTACAGTTTAAATCACAGAGTGGTTTGGGTTGTCTGGTGTGCTGCAAACCTCTATATGTGTCTTGCTATGCCTGTTCTATTACTGCTCAACTATATACTGACAATACAGAATTTACCTGGTAATAGGCAGCTCTCTGTAACTGCTCACTGGCTCTCTCCACATGGACTTCTGCACTTTCCACATTTGCCTCTATGCTATCTATGGAAAAATAAAGAACTCAATGTAAAACACTTCAGACCTTCAGTGTTTAAGAAAATCAATCAGAAATGCAAGCCTTTTTATGCAAAATACTAGAAAATTTAATCTATGTAGGCAAAACATGCAATGGAACTAAGAAGAGACTTCCCATTACCCAAACACACTTACCAATCATATCTCCTTGGTCATGAATCATCATGGCTAAATCCTTAAATATCTGATTGACATCCAAAATGTCTGCCTGAAGATAACAGTTTAACAAGTTACAACAAACACTGCTTCCAATGTTTTTAAGCCTCATTCTTAGTAACTCTTCTGATCATTGCTCAAAGCGTCAGAACAGATGCCATCACTCACTGACTGAGGTGACTTGATGCTGCTATCTGTGGAAGCTGGGATTAACACAGGAGCCTACAATATTCCTGCCACTGGATATTTGATTCATCCCACTAGCAATTAGCACAGTATGGAATTGAGATGAACATTGTACCATGAGTTGCTTCTACCATCTGAAGGACCACCAGTCAACACTGAAGGAAAATATACCTATTCTCCTTCCACAGGGGCAGGGAGATTGATCTTGGCATCAATCCTCTCTACAAGGAACTCTGTTCCTCCACCTTCAGATCTCCTCAGCCCATCCCATTAGTTAGCACTGCATGACCTCTTTGGCTTATCTCCCAATACTGTTAACTATGCAGGATCTACTGGTCACCTCTAATTGCCTGATTGCTGTTTCTCTTTCTTTAATGAGTTCAAGGTCCTGTTCAGTTATTGCCACATCTTCTTCCTGAGACTGCATTTGATTCCAATCTTCACCACTGGAATGAGATGGAAAGAAATTACAACTCTTTCTCTGTGCACAGGGACTTCCACCCTCCCTTTGTAAGTAAAGCAGCAGCGAGTTGAAACTTGAAAGGTTTCCTACAGAACAACCCCCAGGTTCCTGGTCCTGCAACTGTATAGACAGCACTCATCTGTGACAACATTTGCAGAGGAATGGGACATATAAGCTAGGTCTCTTCTTAAAGGATTTATACAGACGGGGCCAGCAGATTTCATCCCAGTTTTCTCAAACACACATACAGTAGAAACCGGCACAGTGATCACAGAAGCTTCTGGAGCGTCCTCTTTACCACACTGTAGAGCTGACACAACATTTTACAAACTTAGCTATCTACTATGACAGACACTGTTACTGTCTGAAAGGTGACTATTTTCCTCAGGGGAATAATCACACAAGCGACATTTAAGGAGGATAAAATCCTGTTGTGTGCAGTTAATTTTGTACGTTGTGTATTACAAGTGCTGTAATAATTGCATTTCAAATCTTTCTGCTTTGCATTCAGTTAGCAGAGCCTGGCCCAGGTTACACTGACATATCTTGCATCAAAACCTTAGTCATTTGTATAGTTAAAAGTATAACATCAAAGGACAAGAAGTTGTTACCTATCAAATGAAACGAGCTGTTCTTCTCTGAACCGCTCATCTGCCTGGAAGAGATAAAGGAGTTGTGAGTCTCACAGACTACCAAGACCCCTTGTAAAATCAACAGGAGTATCTTGAAAACAAAGGCATAAACTGTGCAGAGAGTTCTCCAAGAACACCACTGTCCCTTTAGCTTCCAGATTTAAGTTAGTTAAGATTAGATCTAGACTCACCTTTACATTTAGTTTTTAAATTCAGATTATCTCTGCAAATCAGAGGCAACTGCGCAATCAGAAGCAGCGAGACCCTTTACTCAGATGTTGTTTGCCACATCTGTTCTCAACATGTAGCAAAAGATTTAGAGCATAAGCCAAAGGATAAATGCGCTCCCTGGTAGAAATTCGGAACG